AACTGTTAGATCTCTAGAAGTCATATGTGAATAGAAGATTGTGCTTTTGGTGCTAATCTGAAGAGCTATTTCAAATATATGGTTTATCATTGCAACTTCACACTATCTTACATTACTTTTTGTACGTGGACAACATGTAAATTAATTATCTCAGTGAGCTACAGTATATTCAGGAAATTCTAGAGTCACAATCTAAACTCGAGTATGAGAGATGCATTGTAGGAGAAGAAGTGGCAGAACCTGGGGCGGAGTCAAAAGAGGAATCAACCTAGAGCCGTGATGGCGAACCTATGGCATGCCCTCACAGAGCTCTCTCTGTGGGCATGTGCACCATTGCCAGCCTCTTTTCTGGCTTCCAGTGCACGCATGTGCGCTGGCCAGTTGGTCTTCACACTTGCCTGAGTGCCTGAAATCCAAAGACCAGCTGGCCAGCGCGCACATGCGCATTGGCCAGCTGTTTTCAGGTTTCCGGTGCTCCAGCACACGCATATGTGCCCGCGTTCTGGTTCACTCAGTGGTGAAAAGGTTCACTATCACTGGCCTAGAGTCTCTATGTAGCCACAAATAGCCTAAGTCCAATTCCTCTTAACTTTTGTTAACCCTTATCTAGCACTAAACTAGTGCTAACCATTAGTTGGCAAAAACCTGTGCATAGGCATGAGTAGTACTAAATCACAATAATAAATAATAAAGTAATAAATTTGAACTTCATGTATGCTCCTGGTCTTACATTCCTGACATGCCTGACACGAGTTCGAGAAGTTTGATTGAACTCGCGAGAAGGCTTTCTTTTACAGCGTATTACCCTGGACACAACGGCAAGGAAAGCGACGGAACTTAAAAGGTAAGACCTGCATCCCACTTCTCGCCCGCCCCACCTGCCACTCCTCTTGATAAAGAGATGGCAGGGAAGAGAAGCAGCTGTTGCCATTGGGGTGTGATGGGACATGTTGGGCCACTCAGCCAGCGTGAAGAACAGGGAGGGGAGGCAACGGCAGCAATGGGACATCTAGTCTCATGCTCGCCACCTCCTTTACCTCCCAAATAATAAGAGTGCCCGATAATAAGGCCAAGCCCTTATTTTTTTGGGGGGGGGGTATCAAAAGAAAATAAGACCCTGTCTTATTTTTGGGGAAACATGATAAGAAGTAAAAATAACTTGGACTAAGATTTGAGCATGTGACATTATTATTTAGCATATGGCATATCATACATGGACTAGCAATATATATTAACATTTCACTTAGATTAGTAAAACACAATAAAATATAAATGTTTAAAAGATTTGTGTTCAAATACTAATGTTTAGGGCCTAGGCCATCTAACCATTGAAGTGATCATTTATCTTTTAAAAAACCTCAAATATTGGACCAGTCTTGATGTGATCTATAGTTTGACTTGGGACCCCACAGTCATAATGAGGGGAAGGTTCATTTATACAGAGAGTCCCAGTTTGTGAGGTGCGAATCCTGTTCAGGATTGTCCATTGCTGACATGGTAGTTCAAAGTCTGAAACTTTTTTTGTGGGGTCATTTCTGTGTCTTTCTATGTCTGGGAGTTCAACAACTCATTTACTTTCCATTGGGAATCGATGTTAAAGTTGTTGGGCAGATGTTGTGCCAGTGCCAGTGGGAGTTTCCTGGATTTGAGTGTTCCGGCTAATAAATGGGGAAGGTCAGTATGTACCAGTAGAAGTGAGTTGTTGATATTTTTTCTGTATTCTCTCATTAGGGCATCTTGCCTTCATAAAACTGGTGGTGCTACATGGCTTAGAACAGGAAGCCAACAAGTTGGAGTAGTTTTAATACATCCATTTATAATCCTCATGAGTCTGTTCTATAACTTACTAGTATGGCAGCTTACTAGTAAGCCATACTAGTAAGTATGGCACAATATTTTGCTGTGGAGTAGACCAACTCTAGTGCTGATGAGCGTGGCAGCTAAACATTCCCATTTAGTTCCACATAATTTCTGGAGTATGCTGTTCCTAATATTGAGTTTTGCTGCCTTATTCTCTACAGTAGGTGTATCTTATAGGAGAGAGTCCGGTCCAATGTTACTCTAAAGTACTTTGGATGGGGATTATAGGGAAGTAGGTTGTTGTTTAAGTAGACCTTCGGGGCTTCATATGCTAGTTTGTTGTTAAGGTGGAAGCATGTTTTGCTAGTGCTAGGAGTAACCCTTCAGTCAGTAAATTTTCCCAAGATTTTAAGAACTTTGGACGGGAGGCTGTCTGACATCTCCATGTGTTTTTCTTGTATTGCTATGGCAAATTATCAGTGTATCCAAATTTGGATACACTGATGATTTTGATCCAAGATGGTGCCGCCGAAGGCTGCCTCAGTGAAATGCTCTCTAATGGTTTCTTTATGTTTTACACTGAGAGCATATGCACCAAGACAAATTCCATGTGTGTCCAATCATACTTGGCCAATAAAAATTCTATTCTATTCTATTCTATTCTATTCTATTCTATTCTATTCTATTTGCATCCTCTTGCCCCTGGATTTATCTAATGGGTATAAGTTGCCATTATAGAGCATTGTGGAGGCCATTGTTTAATCTTATCTTACTTATGTTGTCTCCCATTATTATCTGAAAGAACATATCACCCAGCTTGTTACTAGTCGATACCATATGGCTTCCTAATTAGCTGACAAATCACACTCAATGTGTAGTCCTTAATGGAACTGAGTGTACATGGAGGGAAGTATGCAATGGGCACACCAAGGCTCTGTTTTAGGCCTTGTATAGGTGATACCTGGCTCAACAGTAGTAACTGCGAGAGGGATCTTGGAGTCCTAGTGGACACTTAAATATAAGCCAACAGTGAGCTGCAGCTGCCAATAAAACCCACACAGCCCTAGACTGTATTAACATGTGAAGTGTTAGAACTATTTTATAATTTCTTGATAAGACCGCATTGGAATATTGCATCCAGTTTTGTTTGCCATGATAGAAAAAAAAAGTTGAGGCTTTAGAAAGAGTGCAGAGAAGAGCAACAAAGATGATTAGGGGACTGGCTCAACCTATTCTCCAAAGCACCTGAAGGAAACTAATTAAGGAGAGAACCAACCTACAACTAAGAAGAAACTTCCGGACAGTTAGAACATTTAATCAGTGGAAGGACTTGCCTCCAGAATTTGTGGTGCTCCAACACTGGAAGTTTTAAAGAAAAGATTGAACAACCATTTCTCTGAAATGGTATTGGGCCGTGATGGAGAATCTATGGCACGTGGAGCCATATCTGTGGGCATGCAAGTGTTGTCTTAGCTCAGCTCCAGCATGCATGCGCACACCGGCCAGCTGATTTTTGGGCCTTTTGGGCCCACCGGAAGTCGAGAAATGGGCTGTTTCCGGCTTCTGGAGGACCTCCGGGGTGGTGGTGGTGGGAAAGGCTGTTTTCACCCTCCCCAAGCTCCAAGAAAGCCTCTGGAGCCTGGGGAGGACGAAAAACGGGCCTACCGGGCCCACGATGCCATCGTGTGCCAAAAGTGGGGGGAGCGCATGCACATGCATGGGAGGGGCAGGACGCAAGGGGGCATTGAATGTGGGCACACATGCACATGACCCCCCCATGCTCTCCCCACTTGTGGCACGCGATAGCAAAAAGGTTAGCCATCACTGGTATAGGGTTTCCTGCTTGAGCGGATTTTATTCTATTCTATTCTATTCAACTCTGTTATTCTACAGTCCAGGTCTAGAAAGTGGGAAGCAATTTTGAAGGTAATATTAGTGAAATGAGCAAAGTGGATTTCTGCCATAAGCAATAATTAAGCTTCCAGTCCCACTTGTTTAATGACATGGCTGATTCATGAAATTATTCCCACAAAGAAACTAGATAGATACCGGTATTTCTTTCATTTCCCCTCCCCCTCCCACTACATACCACAAGAAGTTCCCATTTTTAACTAGCAATTCAGCTTTATGGAGCAAAGAGTGAGATACATGACCTGCTGTTGGCTGCTTATATGTCTCAAAGATGAAGTGCCAATATTTTCACAATATGTCTGTGCTACCACTCTTACACACAGTAAGCATTTTGAAAATACTCTCTGGTTCAAAGCATGGTTGGGCTGATGACCAAGCAAAGTGTGTAAGCATTTCTCTGGGCAATCACCAGTGCCCTTTCATCCATCTCCCTCCAATTGTTGCTTCAGTTCTCCTGGGAGAAGTCTCATTCCATTGACTTCACAAAATATTCCACTTTGGAATGTTTGATGGGGTTGATTGTAAAGATTTCCTCAGGCTTCCAGACCTGGCATTGTTTCTGTCTACTGTAATACTGAAGGAACTCCAAGCTATAAATCCATGATATGGGATTTCTGGCTCTGGGTCACTGGCACCCCTTATAGCGGATGGCCCATTTGTCATGGTGCTGTTTAGTTATGCCCTCAGCTATTTGCATTTTGTGTCAGTGGCCGAACCATTCCCTGCTTAAAGAATTCCATCCCCCTTCCAGCAAATGCAGACCAGATGTTTCCCTGACCCTTTTTTTTTTTTGCTTTCAAGAGTATTCTGCTTCTGTTGCTATTCAGAGGAATGAATTCAGGTGACAAACGTCTTTTTCCAGAGTCTCACTTTCTCCATTCTTGCTTCAGAGTTGCCTGAATAAAAGCAAACAATTGACAGCAGTATTCCAAGTGTCGACATGAAACAAATTGCTTTTCTGTTTCTTTAAGCCTCCTGTATTTTTCCATCCGGATTGCTGAAAAATAAAATGTGTGCATTATTTATCACATGTATATAAGTATTAACATCAGGAAATTAAACTATGGAAAAAGAAAGCCAAATGAAATAAAACCAAAGGCGGGGGAAAAAAATGTTGAATCTTGCCTTTTTGTAGTCAGGGTGAAAAGGGGTGTTTGAAACAATATCCTAATATCCTACAGTAAAAGCCCAATCACTGTGTTTTCTGTACAAAACTCCACCCCTTGGGTGCATAAGACTTGGAAAAAGAGTTGCCCTTTGTAGTTTACTATAACATATAAAAGCTGTTAGCAGTTCGTGTAGCCAGCAGCTAGAAAGCTTTCAGTTTTCCCCACCCTCTTTCTTTCTCCTTGTAAGTTGGTAATAAGATACACTCTTTTTTTCCCCCAAGGTTCACACTAGAGCACGGAAGAGAACTGTTTAACTTGGAAGAATAATAACTCTAGGCTTTTTGGTTCTTCAAAGAGGTAAGCCACCGAGCTCAGTTTCTGTTGCATGTCTTTTTACTATTATTATTACATATCTGATGCTCCTTGAATCAGTTGAATGACACAAGGAAGATAGTGGTTTTCATGCTCTCTCTCTCTCTCTCTCTTTCTCTCTTTCTCTCTTTTTCTCCTGTCCTGATTTTTCCTTTGGTTTTGTTTCTTTAGTATGAGTGTAGAACTTATTCTGCAGAGTGATCAGAAAACTTTTTTCAGCTTGAAAATACTGCGCTGGATCCTTTTTGTAGCTTTTTGACTTGTACTAAGATGGTCACATATGTTACAGGGCAATTTGTATGTGTGGTTGCTAGGCAACATGAGACATCAGAGCATTTCAATTGACTATTTGCAACCATCATATATTTGTGCTTTGCTGCACACATGCATCGGTTTGGGAGATCAGCTGGGAAACTCAGCTGGAAGAAAAGATTTAGCCTGATCCCAATAATATTCTTTAACCCTTTCTCTTCCACAGATCCTTTCTTTGTCTCCTGCTTTCAAGGAGACAGACCCTAAAATGACAGTCATTTCTGCCATTAGTGGTGCTCTCTTAATTACCATTCTCTGTGAAGCAAGTGCACTAGTGTTGCCCAATTCCACTGACCTATTCCTGTCAACTAAAAATTACACTGATGTTGAAGCAGCTTTGAGAAGTCACCTGGATCCTGCAAGCCTCCCCAAAGTCAGGAAAAAGCGATATATCTCACAGAATGATATGATTACCATTTTGGATTTTCACAACCAGGTCAGAGGCAAAGTGTTTCCACCTGCATCCAACATGGAATATATGGTAAGCAGCCATGTCTTTATTTACTTTCCTTTCCTTTATTTTGGATTTATTCATTTCCTCATGTCTGAACTTGGAAGGATCTTGCAAATAAAAAAAAAAGATATAATCTATTTAAGTTTCACATTGCCAAATCATGTTTTTTTTAATAAAAAACCAAGCCAAAAGCTTTTGAAATTACTGTAATAGTTTGCATGTAATTCAGTAATTCAGGCCATTTTTTTTCTTCCTCTGTGTATAGTGCAGACATGACATAGACTAATATACCACTCTTAACAGGCTTCTTTGGATCATATAATCTGAATGTAGCTAAAGTGCTTGATTAATTCTGTATTTGATTAATCCTGTATTATATGAAAGCAGAAGTTGTGGTAATTATTCTGGTTACATAGTAAAATGTAACAAAGTTCTTTAAGGCTACAGTCCTACACACAGTTATCAGGTGATCTCATTGTACATAATGGCATTTCTGAATCAACATGCACAGGAGTGAACCATAAATTTTAAAATGTGAAAGTAGACAGCAAATATTTGGATCACTTGGAGTTCTGAGGAACTCCACTCTGCCTAAAAACTGGCTTTGGTAAGTCTAATCAAATATGCATGGTTTTCCCTTTTCCTATTGCCAATTTTTGTTTCTCTTGTTTGTCTATAATTCTGTTGTTAGTTTTCTTGGAACAGTAAATCTGTAATATTTTTAATGCCACTTAATATACCATAAACATTGAAGTTTATTTTGAGCAATTATCAAATGTATCAATGTTGATATACAATTAAAAACAGAATAAAATCTTCAATAATATCAAAAGATGGAATTATTGAACCATAATGGTGTCATTATCAAATTTGACAGCATAAGCATTAAAATGACCTGCTCAGATAAATGTAGAATATGACAATCTTATATACTACTTATAATATATACTACCCAATTTTGGATGATGTTTTCTAATGTTTGATAATAAGTGAAGCATATGAGTATATTCCCTTTTTATTGGAATATAAAAATTATATTCTGCACTGAAAATACCCTTCTGTGGGATACCACAGGGTTTGATCCTTTTTACCCCTACAATTTCAATATCTACATGAAACTCCCAGGAAAGTTTATCCATGGTTTTGGATGAAATAACATCCATATACTGATGATACATGAGGGCATATTGAACTGGCTTGAGATGCCATGGAGATCTTTATTGGCTGCTAAAGGAGCCTGGATGGAATGAATCAGGATAAACCTCAGCACATTGTTGCTGGTCCAGAAAACATTGGTTGTTCTGTGTGCTTCAGTTTCAATTCTGATGGGATGTCACTTCTCCTAAAAGAGTAGATCTATGACTTGGAAGTTCTAGGCTCAACAGCTACTGCTGGAGTCAGAGGGGGATTCCATGGCTTGGGAAAACTTTGCCTTCCTCAGATAGTGTGCCAATTATGCTCCTACTTGGAACAATAGCTCCTGACAATAGAAACTCTTCTAGTAGTAATGTGCTTTACATTATTTGAAATTACATTTACATTACATTTACTTTGAAAAGGCTGCCACTGGTAAAAAAATGGAGTGGATGAGAGTTCCCACAACTAGATAAATTACAGGCACTACATTTCCTTCCATTAGGTTCAGTGGTGGGTTTCAAAATTTTTTACTACCAGTTCTGTGGGTGTGGCATGGCTTGGTGGGCGTGGCATGGCTTGGTGGGCATGGTTTAGTGGGCATGGCAGGGGAAGAATACTGTAAAATCTCCATTCCCTCTCCAATCCAGGGGAAGGTTACTGCAAAATCCTCATTTCCTCCCAATCAGTTGGGACGCGGGAGGCAGAGAATAGATGGGGATGGGGTCAGTCAGAATTTTTACTACCGGTTCTCTGAACTACTCAAAATTTCCGCTACTAGTTCTCCAGAACTGGTCAGAACCTGCTGAAACCCACCTCTGATTAGGCTTCCAAGTAAGGTGCTGATTTCAACCATTCATACTTACATGACTTCACTTCTTGGTATATTTGAGAGCACCTCACTTCCTCCTAGTGGAAACAGTCCATCCTATGTTTTTTTCAGGTTGGGATGCTTAGGGTTCCCCCATATGTGAGATAAAAAAGTGAGGGCTCATAAGCAAACCTTAAAAAAAAAAACCCAATAACCACTACTTATACCCCTCTTCCCAAGGACTGAGTGGCATCTACTTGGCACTATTTAGGTATTCTGTAAAAACAGAACTTTTCACTGGCATTCAAGGCTGAGTTGCTATTATTGAGTTGGTGCCATGATTGCATATGGTTAATTTGTTTTATTGTCTTTGTCCTTGGGGTTTTATTGCATGCTTGTGTTTTATTTATCTTGTAAACTGTGAGAGTCAACCCTGATCACAGTGGTATACAAATGCAATGAATGTACAAATATGATGCTGTTTGACCACTTAAAACTAATTTGTAGGACTTTACGGCAGAGGTGGGTTTCAACAGGTTCTGACCAGTTCTGGAGAACTGGTAGCAGAAATTTTGAGTAGTTCAGAGAACCGGTAGTAAAAAATCTGACTGGCCCCGCTCCCATCTATTCTCTGCTTTCCAAGTCCCAGCTGATCGGGAGGAAATGGGGATTTTGTAGTAACCTTCCCCTGGATTGGGGAGGGAATGGAGATTTTACAGTATCCTTCCTCTGGAGTGGGGTGGGAATGGATATTTTACAGTATCCTTCCCATGCCATGCCCACAAAGCCACACCCACCAAGCCATGCCATGCCCACCAAGTCACACCCACAGAACCGGTAGTAAAAATTTTTGAAACCCACCACTGCCTTACAGGATTATATAAAAAAATAGATGTGAGAAAACATCCTCTTTTATCAGAGATTACACATTTTGAACTAGTAGAGAGTTCTACCTGTCCCAGAGCCAAATTATATGCAAGGGAATACTTAGTTGTATCAATCTTTGCTGCAAATCTTTAGTGTGTCTGAAATGTACAATGTTTGTTGTCAATTTGGAAGGCTATTTTTTCTGCAAATTCCATCACATTCTCTTCCAACAAAAAGTGTGGTTTGTTTAAATCTTGCTTTGGATGCAGGATGTGAATCAGATGGGTCTACTTTTGGAATGGCCTAGACCAGAATGAGCCATGTTGTGTTCCAGATTGGCTCTCTAAATTGGATCAGGTGATTCTGCACACTAATTTTTAACTCATGTTAACTCTTTCAGACTACATCTTTTCGTTCAACAATAAAATCCCATAAGTAAAACCTCTAAGTAAAGAACCAATGGTGGAACTTGGTCCTTTCATATGGAGTAAACACATGAAAACTTTGAGGAAATAATAGACCAGATGGGAATTAACAACATAAAAATACAAATGGATTTTCCTTAAAAACATTTGAATAAAATTCTAGAAAAATACAATGTGCAATGCAATACTCACTGTGGATCTGTATGCACATTTTGAACTGATAGTATCCTTACAAGCTATAGGCTGGTAGTTTACTCTCAATTAATTCATGTACAAAGTAATAAGAACTATAGCGCTTTCTCCACAGCAGTGTCTCTCAACCTCTGTAACTTCATGTCTGAACTTCAACTCCCAGAATTCTGCCTGGGGAGGTTGAGAAGCACAGTTCTACAATAAGAAATGCATTTCACACTTTTGGTGAGTGTGGGCCAACTTCAATGATTAATATGTTGGTTTTCTGTGACAAAAGAATACATTAATAAAGGAATTCAGTTACCATTGTGAAATAGCAGAATTTCTACTATTGCATTTCCCCCCCATCCTATCTGCTTACTCAGTTTCCTTACCTTCCCCACTACACGCTCATAAACTCTAGAATGGGGAGAAATAGAGTGAATGTGATGAAAAGGGACAAGGCTCCTCCTATAACAATCCTTCAGAGAAATTGTCTTATACCAAGTCAACATTTTGCCACTATTCAGCGGTTATTTCTTAGCTCCATATGGAGATGTCACACACAACTGTGATATTTTGTTTATTTATATGGCCAGCCATCTTAAATGCCTAATCCTAAAATAACAAAATCAACTACACACACACACGCACGCACACACACACAGAAACAAAACCTCAAAATATGAATGCAAAGTAAGTTAAAAGTAACCATAATACAATAGCCAAGCACAATAATAAACCCACAACACAGCTGCCCCTGTTTTGGGCTCAACTATCATTGCAGCCAAGCAATTGGGGAAAGAATCATCTTCACAGCTTTCCAGAAAAGCTTTGGGGGCCCTCTGGATCTCAGGAGGAGAGAAAGAAGCTCAATACAGTAAAAATGTCCACAAATTGGCTATTGCTTGTCATAGATGCCATGTTCAGTGGCAGTTCAGGGATAAAAGTTCATGTTCAGTGAATTAGCTTTTAATTTTATTTTCCTTTATTGGCAAACAAGGCTGCATTGCATTGCAAAAAATAAAAAAATCATCAGGGACATGAGGCAATTGATAGGGCCAAACCCTGTGTAGTGAGTGCCAAAATTAAATATGTGAAGGAAAGATCAGCTTCCCTGGACTATTCCTTCTTTTCTTCTTCATCTATGGCTCCCCCAGAAAGCTGCCAGAAACGAGACAGATAGCTTCTGTCCAGAGATTGCACAGCCTTTTGAAATTGGACCAATAGATGCAGGAAATTAAACAGGGGGCTGTATACATGCCTTGAACCACAGATTGCACACTTTTGTATTAGGCCATATAAAAGGATTGCACAGTCAGTGAAACTATTTACTTTCAAGTTCTTAAAAGGAAGTGAAGGCATTAGCATAGAAATGGAAAAAAAATCTGGAAAAGTGCATTTGGAAAAGTTTATTATGACCCAGTATATTAAAATCCAACATACTTTGAATATGATAATACTTCTTGAGACACTAATATACCAATTTAACCCCAAAATGAAAGAAATATGTGTAGTTCTACAAATGTGTACATTTTTGCAAATAAGTTAGGAAAATGATAAGTCTTTCATTACTTCAGATGTAGTTACGTATATCATTCTGGTGAATAGCACAATAT